GCGGCGGGAGCCGCGCTTCCTCGCGGGAATGCGGCGCTCGGGTGAGGCGCCGCCGGTGCCCGTGTCCGCCGGCCGCGGGGCGGGGAGCGGGTCCCGCGGGAGCCCACAGCTCCCGCTTCCCTGCCCTGCCGCGCCGGGAGCCGGGCAGAGCCGCCGGCTCGTGCCGCGTGTCCCTCTCCTCCGCTTCCCTGCCCTCTCCTGCCGCTCCCTGCGCGAGCAGCTTCGATCCCCGCTCCATTCCGCCTGTTCTGTCTAAAGTGCGCCGCTCGCCTGCCTTGCCGGCTGCTTCGCGGGAGCAGGGTTCTCCTTAACAAAAAGTTCAGCGGCCTGTCTCTAAATAGAGCCTCGCTTATCAACCAGGCGATTAAGCGTAGAACTTAATATTCCCTGGAAGGGGCTCAGGGCTGGCGCTGGGCAGCGGTCGATGCTCCCAACGCGGTGCTCGCCGCTGTTCCCGGGAAGCGGATTCCCCCTTGGGCCGCCTCGGCCCTTGGGACAAGTGGCCAGTGCTGCCGCCTTGCCCTCCAAGCGCCACCCTATGGAGCAGGGATGGGGATTGCTCCCCTGCTAGAGCCCTTGCCCAAGGGGCAGCCCTCGGGGTGCCTCTGAGCCGCTTCTGTGCAGCGTGGGGCCTGCATCCCAGGGGCTTGCCTCACCTCCCGCCACCCTCTCCTTTCGCGTAGGCGACTGCCAGCCGCCGACGCACTGCCGCATCCAGAAGTGCACCACGGACTTCGTGGCCCTGACGTCGCAGCTCAGCCCCGCGCTCGATGGCTTCGACGTGGAGTTCTGCAAGGCGCTGCGTGCCTACGCCGCCTGCACGTACCGCAACTCCAAGGTGTGCCGCGGCAACCTCGTCTACCACTCGGCCGTGCTGGGCATCAGCGACCTCATGAGCCAGCGGAACTGCTCCAAGGACGGGCCCACCTCGGCCACGCACCCCGCGGCCACGCACGAGCCCTGCCACTACGGCGCCCGCGCCGCCGAGCCGCCCGCCTACCTGTTCTGCGGCCTCTTCGGCGACCCCCACCTCAGGACGTTCGGGGACCACTTCCAGACGTGCAAGGTGGAAGGGGCCTGGCCTCTCATAGACAATAACTACCTGTCGGTGCAAGTGACGAACGTGCCCGTGGTGCCGGGATCCAGCGCCACTGCGACAAATAAGGTACGGGCCGCGCTCGAGCCGGAGGGGTGGCAGCCCGGGGCGCTGCTAATGGGGAAGGGCTGCAAGAGACCCGGAGTGTTTGAGGCTGTGGATTTCAGAAAGTGCGGGTGCTGGGCTTGTATTCTGTGAATTTGCTCTTTTGCTGGTTTCACAGAGTGGCTGAGGTTGGCAGGGACCCCTGGAGATCACCTAGTCCAACCCCCTGCTCCAGCAGGGACACCCAGAGCACGGGGCACAGGGCGGCATCCAAGCGGGTTTGGAAGAGATCTCCAGAGAAGGAGACTCCACAGTCTCCCTGGGCAGCCTGTGCCAAGGGCTCTGGCACCCTCACAGGAAAAAAGTTCACCCTCAAAACACCTCTTCCTCCCACCCTGAAATATCACCACAAAAACACCTAAGAAAACTAAGCTGATGCCTTAAAACAAGCACCAGCTTCAGCATTTGTGGCTGCCCCTTCACTAAGCAGAAATCCTAGGGTCAGAGCAAGGCAAGAGTGAGCATCACTGCTTTCCATAAGTTGTACATCCCCGACAGCTGAAAGCAGAAGCAAAAATGTGGACAGAGTGGTGTGACAAAGGTGCCAGGCGCTGGAGGTTCAGACGAGAGGCCAGAAGGAGAGTTGCAGAGAGCTGAGAGGGGGGACCCACTGGTGCCACGTGGCTGCTGGAGGGCCCCATTGCCCTGGCTCCACGAAGGAAGCAGCATCCTGAAAGCCCTGCTGCCCGCGTGGGCCCACGTGCAGGCGGGCACAGCTGTGGGGTGCTCTCTGCCCCAGCGCTGCAAGTGCCACGTGAGAAATTAACACTCTGTTACTGACAGCATGTGCCCTTTCTTTCAGAAGAGTACCTAGCTCTTTATGCCAAAGGCAGGCAGTCCTTACAGGAGGAAAATGCACAAGGAATCAAGCCCCGTTGGGCAACGGGGCAGTCTTCCCAGACCATCAGCATGGGGAAATTCTCACTCTTTTGCTATGCATGGGGTGGGTTACAGCCTGCACAGCTACCACAGAGGTTGCTGTGCTGCTGGAGGGAGTATAAAATGAAGGAATGAAGCTATCCTATCTCGTGTCCAAGTTTTGCAAAAGAGACTTGAGTCTCTTGAGACATTTGCTCCAGTGGCTTCTTTCTTTTCCCTCCCAAGACACTTATAGATGGGGAGCAAGAGAAAGCTGCGCTGCATAATGTCAGAAAGGCTTTACCCTTGTTTTGCTGATGTCTTTAGTGCTCTGCTCCTGAGAGTCCCAGAGGAAATGCGGAGGGTCTTTCTGTGCTCGGGTCGCAGGGTGGCCAGGCCAGGGTGGTGGGAGTAGATAGGTGGTCCTGTCTTTGACTATGTTTTAAAAACACAGTTGCATGTCATGGGGGAGAATGTCTTCTGGGACCACAGGGATTTGAGGATGTAAATGTCTGTGCGTACTGGAGGGGAAAAGTCTGTTTTTAGAAGAGTTGCTTTGTGTTTATTTCTAATCCCAATGCATCTGCTTCTCGAGTTCTTTGTTTTCCTCTCTGCCCTTCTGCAAACAGCAGTAATATATTTTCACTTCTGCAGTACTGGTACTGGGTTTGACATCGCTGCAGTTGCACGAGCAGAGTTAAGTGTGCAGGAGCTCTTAAGTGAAATAAGGCATAAGCTCGAAGATGTTAGAAATCCCCAGCACCACTGTCAGTTAAATGCACACAATACTTGACTGTTTTCTTTCCTGGCAGATAATCAAACTTTTATCAGCACGCCTCTTTGTGGGAAATGAAGGTTGTGTTTTGCATGCACAAGTAACTTTTCAAGATAAATTTCAATATCTCTAATGCATCCTTTTGATTTCTTTATGGAGCAGGCTGCTATAAAGGGTACAGAAGAGGCCTGTTAAACTCCACTGCTGGACTGATGCATGTAACGTTTTCTGTTCTTTCCACACATCTTGGTTGTGATCCTGCTGCTGCATTTGCTTACGTTGTTTTGGGCGTAGGCCCAGCATATGGGAAGCTGAAGATATGGCTTAGAGACAGCAAGAAAACAATTTTGGTGCTTTTGCCTATCTAGACAGTGTTTTTCCTAACTTGAAGCGGGCAAGTAAGCAACCTGCCTTCTCAGTAAGAAAACTTCTCAGAACTTTATCATCTCTTGTCTTGCTGTTTTTGTTTTTTTTTTTCATTGCAGATGTTTTAAGTAGTTGTTTAATTTCAATGGGAAATGAGTTTGAGTTGCGGAGAAGCAAATATTAAATTGCAGGCTATCCTTCTTTTGCCTCAATAAAAGTAATGACCCAATAAAAGTAACGACAAAAGATGTGGCAGCTTTAAATTATTTTTAACGCCCCCTTTCAGGGGAAGTGATTGAAGGAGGGACAGGAGCAGAACAGTGAATCTTTGCCCCTCCTGCAGCGATCCAGCCTCCCCGGGCTTCTGAACTGGATCTTTTGGGGCCTTATTGGCCTTGTGGGTGGTTCTTACCTTCAAATTTGCCCCGCTTTGCTGGTGTTTGGGGTGACCTCTGAGGGAGTCAACAGTGAAGGAAGGTTTATGTGTAAAGTGACTTCTTGCTGCAAACCCGTGTGGCTTGAGGAGCCCCAGCAATCTCAGGGCTTTCCGCCAGGTTTGTAGAGGACCAGAGACCGTCAGGTGACGTTTGACAAGAAAGTGAGGAATACAAGAGTGCTTTTCTGCTTTCACTGCACAGCTGGCAGGAAAGAACGGGAAGCAGGAAAACTCTTCCTCCAGTCCCTTAATTGGGAAGGTATGTCCTGCCGTGGGAGACGTGTGTGCGTTCGGAGCAGGCTCCGGGCGGTTTGTTTGTAGGTGTTTTGCATGTTTGCGATGCTGATAGTCAGGACATCTGTTTCTTCAGAGGGAACAGAGCGATTGTGCATTCTGTGGTCTAGTTGAAACTTGCAGCACCGCTTTCTTCTGAGCCTGTTTGATCTGCTCGTGCCCCTTGGCATCGGATCCCAGGGCCTTTGGGATGGGGAAGGAAGGATCGCCAGGGTGCTGGGAAACACGTTTTTGGAGTGAGCCACTGGCCTTGCTGTGTCTGCCTGGTGCAGCTGTGCAAGGAGAGCTCCCCAGGCCCGGGAGCTCCGTGGGATAAGCAGCTTTTTCCAGGGAGTTGGAGGAGTGGGTGGGAGGGATATGATGTACTGCCCTGAATCAAGTTTTTCTTCTCTTGTTTTGTTGTGGGCTTTGTTCGGAGGGGAACAAATCCTGGTTGTCCATGACAGGTGCTCTCTCTGTCTCTGTAGCAGTTATCCCAGAGTAGCAAATGAGGCAGAGGTGCCTGCATTTCCCTAAGGAAAACTTCCCTCCTTGTTCACAGCGCTTAGAAACGGGGAAGGGGCTCTTCCCATGCAGGTGTTTCATTGCAGATGGCTTGAGGATGAGGCATGGAGAACGGGCACAGGAGGGCAGGGAAAGGAAAACAAGAAAAGGAAAACAAGCAGAAAATGCATAGCTTTTACTGTGGTAGGTTTGCTGGGCATAAAGCCTTGGATCTGGGAACAGGCTGCATTAGCAGTGTAATGAAACAGTGGGTAAGTGCTCTTTCTCCTAAAGTCAAAACACTTAGGTATCTCTTGCAGTCTCATTTCTATTTTTGCAAGAGGAAATCATTGGAGCGAACACCCTGTACTTATTCTCCTTTAAATAATTCATATTAAAACAGTTGTCTTCCAGTTACTGTTCAGTCAGGCTTCTGAGTGGGAGCATCAGATCGCTGACCACGTGTGATTAATTTTCTCATCCTCACAGACTTCCTGCCCGAGATCAGGACGAACTGCAGCTTTTTTTCCCCCGAGGAGGCACGTGCTGCCTCGTTGCTGAGGGCCTGCAGCCAAAGGCCACCTCGCTCGTGAGGTGGAGCAGATGACACGGCTCAGGAGCCAGAGTTTGGGGTTTGTGTTTGGAGAGCCAAGAACATGGCAAGCAGAAAGGGACAGCGCAGGGTCCTTCAGCCCGTGCATGTTGGTCTGTGCATGGACAGGGAGTGGGGCACAAACTGGCTGGGCAGGTAGCTGCGAGCGGCGTGGAAATGCAGGTGCCCCAGCACTTTGTGTGTGTTTGGGGTGTTTCTGAAAGGCTGAGGTTTACCAGGGTGCTCAAGAGAAGGCCTAAGGGCTCACAAACCGCCCAGGTGAGGTGACCTGGGTTGTCTCTCCAGACAGCTCATCCTTGAACCTCTTCTGTGAGCAGTGTTTGACCCAGAGATACCTCCTCTTGTGATTATCTTGGCACCTCTTCAGCTTATTCGGACACTAAAATCCACCTCTGATGGTGTGTTCTATCTATTTAATCTGTGTCTTTTGGGTTTTCATTACTTGTCATCATGAAAGAAATGAGAGTTGGAGAAATACTGTGGTTATGAAAGAACCAAGCGTGGTCAGGGACTAACCAGGAGCTGAAACAGGGCCTCTGCTCAGGGCCAACTGGTGCCTGGTTCCGAGCGTGCTGAAAACGAGCAGGAAAGGACCCTGGGCACCGTCTGCGCTGGAGGCAGGAGGGGACCCGTCTCGGATGCAGCCCCGCTCTGTGTCCTCGCCCTCTCCTGCTCCCTCAGGAAAGCCCGTTCAGTTCCACCACGGAGCCGCCCTCATCACCAACGCGCTGCGTCGCGTTGGATGCGCTCCTAGGAACAGCAGGACCCACAGCAAAGTGACCACCGTCTTCCTGGGCCCAGGTGACTTTCTGGCTTTGGGGGCTCGCTGGGTTCGTCCACATGGAGATGGACATCCAGGGGCTCCCTCACGGAGCGGGAGCAGCGCGCGCAGCCTCGGCACCCTCTGTGCGAGCAGCTCCGTAGCCCTGCGGGTCTTGGGGCATGAGGAGGGAGAAGCAAGAAGTGGATGGAGATGGCGGGTTTTCCTCAGACGTGGGAATGTGAGTTCAGTGTTAATGCTGGGCACTGAAACAGGCTCTATCTGCCTGTTGTTATACACACGGTGCCAGCTCGCTGCAGGGTGGGAGAGCCCTGCTCCTCCTCACGTTGTCCACCAGGAAGATGAAGGAGGAATATCTAAGCTGCTGTCCCATTGACTTAGGGACATGTGACTGATCAAGTTCTGGGAAGTATTGAAGTTAATTTTAGATGCCAGATGTTTCTAGAGGGTGTCTTTTTTTCCAAATAAATGGTGACCTTCTCAGCCATGTCGGAGTGACACTTTCCTGACTGATGTGGGGTTTCTTTTTGGAAGCCTTCTGTTGAATTCCTTCTTTCAGCCCGACTTCCTCTTGCTTCCCTGTTGTGCGTGGGATCCCCACGCCTTCCCTTCCCCCTTGCTCCCCTGACATGGAGCTCGGAGAAAGGGGGGATATTTCTGCAGTGACCAGTGGGGCTGCTGTTGGGCTCTGTAAGCTCGACCCCAGCAGCATCACTGAGATGGTCTCCTCTAAATCCCTTTTTTCCTCCAAACTGCTGCTTCCCTGAACCCTTTCCAACATCCCCCAAAGGAGCAAAACGCCTCTCGAGCCTGTGCCTGAGCTAGAGAGCTTCTGTTCCATCAGCAAGGAGCCACTGAGAAAGCCTTGGCCTTGTGGGCCGAGCCCGTCGGGATGGGGATCACGCGTCCGCACGTGGGTTCCTCGGGGAAGAGGTCCTGCCTCGCGTGGGCTGCGTGGAGCCTGTCGGGATGGGGATCACGTGTCCACATGCGGGTTCCTCAGGGAAGAGGTCCTGCCTCGCGTGGGTTGCGCTGCTCTCCCGTGACCGCAGCATTTGGAGCCATCTCCTGCTTTTGTCTCATCCAAAAGAGCTGCTGTGTGTGTGAAGAAGAGCTGCTGTGTCATGTGGCTTTGAATGAGGCTGAGTGAGTCCCCGTTTTCAAATGGGTCCTTACGGTTTTCTGTTACTAAATCTCTCCTGCACCCCTCAGCGTTGCTTTGTTATCCAGGGTGTGCTCTGGATGGTGCTTGGTGTCCAAGATAAACCTTCCTGCTTCCCACCTGCTGCAGGTCTCAGAGAAGGGAAGCTTTGAGTTGCTAAATGCTCGCGTGGAGCCCTTGCTGGATCAGTGTTCCCAGCCTCTCCAAGGAGCTTCCCTTGTGGCGTGCCCGGTGGTGGCCGCAGCCTCTGCAGGCGGGAGTTGTGCTCTGACAGGCTGGGAACGGCGATGGGGAGGGATGGGGGGCTCTGTGAGTATTGGTGGCGCCGTGGGTCTTCAGTGGGGCTGTGGTAGGGTCTGTGTGAGCGTGGGCTGGGGAGCTGTCCCGCTGAAATAGCGGGTGAAACGGGGCAAGGTCAAAAACTTCCCGAAACTCAGTCTGAAGCCTGGCCTAATGCTAGGCTGGCTTGTCCCCCGCTCTCTCCTCAGGCTTCCCAGTGCTGCTTGCAGGAGGTGCAGAAGATCTGGGTGCTTGAGGGGGTGTTGCTAGGTACAGGAGCTTGGCTCTTGGGGCTGCGGCTGGGCTTCAAGGAGAGAAATACTGAACATGAGTGAGCAGGGACGAGTGGCTTGGGTGCAGAGGGGAAAGGAAGGTTCAAGAAGGGCGGTGATGCTCACAGCAGCCCGGTGCATCACTGACATGTATGTTCAAAATCGGGTTTGTTTATGAAACTTAGGGCTTCCCCTTCTCTCCTGCTCTCTTCCCCTGCTTGCTCCCTCCTTCCCGCAGTTCCACGAAGAGGGAAAGGGAAGCAGAAGCAGGGACAGATGAAATGCTGGGATAGGATCACAAGGTCCTGTAAGAAGAAAACCATAATCACAAACTTTATATTAAAGCAGAGAAAGGCTTTCAGAGTGTATTGGGGGAAACTGTGCGTATTCTCTATGGCTGAAACCATATAGAACCTCTCTGCAGGCTTACTTTATTTTTAGTGATCTTAATGTACCTGAGGCTTTTGTAGTGTGGATTCATGCATCCTTGGGCAGAGGCTTGCCCTGGTCCTCAGTGCAGCAGCTCCAGAGCTGCGTGTGCCCAGAGCCTCGGGCCTGATAACTTCAAAAACTTAAGACTCTTCCTACATCCGAAGGCCCAAGCATTGGGATTTCTCTTTTCCGAGGTGTAGAAAGGGCAGCTGTAACGTCTGGTCTATAAACAGTGGCACATGAGGAGCTGTGTCTTACAGCCCAGCCAGAGCATAGAAAGTGTTGCACGTGCGTGCACACGTACAGCTCCTGCTGTGCTCCTTTGGAGCGGGACATAGTGGCAAAGGGACCTTGAAATCTTGGGAGGAGAGAAAGGTCTGCGGGGAAAGTCGCTTCATCAGCCTGTGCGACGAGCCAGCCAGCCCGGGGTGGCACCGCGGGAGGAACCCGTGTCCCACATGGAGCGGCACCAGGCGCCGCGGGAGGCACCCGCATCCCGCACGGAGCCCTGTGACCCCAGGGGCTCTGCGGAGAGAACCAGCGCCGGGAGAGGGCCCTGCACGTCCCGCAGGGCTCCGGGGCCGCCTCTCCGCGTTGCCGGCCGTACCCTGCGGAGCGCCGCGGTCCCTGCAGCAAGAGGGGCCCTGGAACGGACTGGAGGGAAAAGTCCTCGCGCCCTGTCCGGGGGTTGGGCACAGACCTTCCGGCTGCAAGTTGAGCGGATCGCTGAGCACAGCTGGTCTCAAGCTAGCCGTATGACTGATTAAAGCAAAGAAAAACGGTTGGAAAATTCCAGTCAGCACCAGTGGGAACATATGGAATTCAAATAGCAAGTACTCCGTGTGTGTGTGTGTGAATGTGAGAGAGGGAGATGGTCAGAGCGCGGACTGAGCGGGACAGACCGGACCCTGGAAGGGAGTGCAGTGATTTTCAGTGCATGGCCGCTGTGCGGAGCAGTGCTCCGGGTGGGAGCGGGAGGAAGAGGCGATGGGAGGAAGGCCCCTGCCCTCCCCGGCTGCTGTGGCGAGGGGAGGCGTGCGCGGGGACGGCTCCCATTCGGGCTCCCTGCAGCCCGGCTGTTTGTTTAACCTCCAGCTCCTATTTCAAAGCGGAGGGGTAAGAAACCAAAGCTGTTGTGCAGAAGTGTGCTGGTTAACTGGAGTTAAAACGCGGGAAGCTGCCCTAAATTGTAAGGAAAGCGCTAATGTTGGTTAGAAAACAACTTTGAACTGTGTTTTGGAGTACGCTGAATGTTATAGCAATGCACTTAAATGATAGTCTTTAACTAGATTGGATGCATTCAGTCAGTCAAGGGTGAAAATAATAATTAAAATCCCTATTTCTAGTGCCAAATACCCTCTGACCTTTTCAAGAATTTACTGTTTCCTCCTCTCCGAGGAAAAGCAGCAGCATCTCTGTTTCTAATGTTCCTGTTGTCCCCTCAGTACGCACTTATATTTTTGGCAAGCCACCAGACATGTGCCAGCCCTGCCAAAAAGCCTCATCATCTCCTCCGAGTAGGACCGAGGGCCTGCTGTTTCTGCTGTGGCTTGTTGAGCCGAGGCGAAGCTTGAAGGAGCGGCTCACGAGCGGCGCTTGGAGTGCGCTGCCCTTCCGAGGCAACGGCCTCCCCTTCGGCCCCGCTGCGCCTTCCCTGGCGGCCGTGGCCTGGGAGCGTCAGAGCTCCCCGTTCCCAGCGCTAATCCGGGAGCTCCCACCACTTACCTGACTAGTTGTTTTTCATGGTGCTACATCTTAGAGTCACAGAGTCACGGAATGGTTAAGATTGGAAGGGACCTTTAGGGATCATCTAGTCTAAGCCCCTGCACATACAACGTCACCTGCGCACAAGGCACAGGGCTGCATTCAGGTGGGTTTGCAAGATCCCCAGAGAAGGAGACTCCACAACCTCCCTGGGCAGCCTGTGCCAGGGCTCTGGCATGCTTATTGTCAAGAAAAGTTTCCTTAAGTGGAACTTTTGGTGTCTCAGCCTGTGGCCGTTTCCTCTAGTCCTATCCCTGCCCACCACAGAGAAGAGGCCGCCCCCTCCTCCTCACTGCCTCCCTTGAGGTGTTTATAGACACTGATCAGGTCCCCCCTCAGCCTTCTCTTCTCCAGGCTGAACAGCCCACCCGGGTTCTCCAGCCTCTCCGTGCGCTCCTGCGGGCTGTTCCCTGCGGCCGCGCGCGTCGCCGCTTTAGCAGCGCCCCAGCTCCTGGCCCCGTTTCTGCAGCACGAAGCCCTCCGCAAGGGCCGCTCTCGGGGGCAAGGAGAGTCCTGGGAGTCAGGGAAAGGGAATCCTGCAGCCCTTGCCTGCGGCTCCGCACGGGCTCGTTCCGCACCTCGGCCCCAGCCGGGTGGGAATTGTTTGGCACGTACACGGCGCTGCCACTGTGGGAGGCTTTCCAGCGCCTAAAGAAGCCATGGGGCAGGAGGGAGCTGTGGTGCTTGATTAAATATACAGCCTTTTCCTTTCCTGACCTCGCTGCAGCTGCCACACGCTAATAGCCTTGCTTCCTGGCCAGGTTCCCAGCACAATTCCCATCTGGTAGAACGCCGCTTTCTGAGCGCCTGTGTGGACTGCACACTGAGTGGGGACAAGCGTCGAGCTCTGTGCTTAGAGGGCAGGCCCAGGTGCTCGCAGCAGCAGAATGGGAAAGGGAGGGAAATGCTTCTTCCTTTCCCCGCTGTCAACTACTGTTTTCTCCCCTCCTGCCCCCTGCCAGATAACTATCATCTTCAAGTCGTACCAGGACTGCACGGAGCAGAAGGTGTACCAGGCCGTGACTGACGACTTGCCCGCGGCCTTCGTGGACGGCACGACGAGCGGGGGCGACGGCGGCACCAAGAGCCTGCGGATCGTGGAGAGAGCGAGCGGCAAGTCGGTGGAGATGCACGCGCGGTACATGGGCACCACGGTGTTCGTGCGGCAGCTGGGCCGCTACCTCACGCTGGCCATCCGCATGCCGCGGGAGCTGGCCATGGCCTTCGAGGAGAGCCAGGACCTGCAGCTCTGCGTGAACGGCTGCCCGTCGGGCGAGCGCATCGACGCGGGCGGCCGCCTGNTCTCCCGGGAGAGCGCGCCGCGGTCGGGCTCCACGCCCGAGTCGGTGCTGCGGCGCCGGCCGGAGCCCGGCGGCCTCCTCAGGGCCATGTCTGCGCCGCGCGCGCCCGCGCCGCCTACACGCTGGAGAGCGCCACGGCCGCCTGCCACGACAAGATGCGCGTCAAGGACATCTACTTCCACTCGTGCGTCTTCGACCTGCTCACCACGGGCGACGCCAACTTCACGGCGGCGGCGCAGAGCGCGCTGCGCGACGTGCAGGCGCTGCACCCGCGCCGCGAGCGCTGGCACATCTTCCCCAGCGGCGCCGCCGCGCCGCGGCCGCCCCGCGCCGCCCTCGCGCTCGCCGCCTTGCTCCTCCGCGCCCTCCTGTAGGCTTCCTTGCCTCTGTTCCTTCTGTCCTTAACAAAATTTTGAAATATATATTGTCATAATATATTGAGTAAAGATGAGTATATATGTATATACCATGTATATGAAGGGATGTTTTGTCCTGGGACGCCCACCAGATTGTACATACTGTGTTTCTGTTTCCATGTATGTTGGATGTAGTATTCTTTGTATCTGTTTGTTTTGCAGCTGGTGAAATGTTTTATAATGTCCCTCCATTGGGACCTGATAGAAAGCACTTTATTTTTTATATATTAAATATTTATGTGTGTATCTGAGGAATTATGTATTATACATATACATGTGTACATACAATACCCAGTGTTCCCTCTTTGTACTACTTTAATTTTTTAATTATATTAATTTGTTTTGTTTTTTCCCCCGGCCTCCTCTTACTGTAGAGGTTGGCGCCTCTCCTCTCCTATGCTCATGCTGGTGCTTTGTTGCAGTCTCTGGTGAAAAGCAGTTTCGAGTGGAGCCTTATTCTGTCCCCTAAACAAATGCTCCTTGATGCCCCTTTGGAGGGGGCTCTTCTGGAGCTCTGCTCCTGCTCTGCGCAGCATGAGCCAGCCCACCTTGGTGATCCTGACGCCTTCCTCCATCGTGGGACGCGGCAGAAGAAGGAAGGTCTCCCGGCCGGCCCTCGGAGGCTGCCCTGCAGCGAGGCCCGCGCGCCTTTGTGCAAGCACTGGAGCGCTGACTGCCCAAGATGCTCAAATTGTCTCGTCCTTGTAGCTCTAGACGGGGTTAGGTGACTTTGTCGTGTCCTCCTCAAAGTAATTATTGCTACCTGGAAGGTTAGTTAAGTTATTCTGTGAGCTGGACTGGAGAAATCATGTGCCTGTGTCTAGATTGGAGTGCCCTCTGTGCATTGAAAGGGGGAGACGAATCCCCAGGCTCTGAAATGTTCCTCCTCGGAGACTAGGAGAAAGGCGCCTCGGTGGCCTCAAGGTCTGACTACCTACTGCCTTAATCTGCAGCAAGGAGCAGGAGCCCTAACACCCGCTCAACCCCCTGCCCTCCGGCTGCCTTGGCGCTGCCGACCTGTCGGGACAGCGGCGGCGTCTCCTTGGAGAAGCTGTTCCCTGGAAAAGCCGTTCCCTGCCTTTCTGGCAGCCGCCTGGTGCGTTGCTCGGGAGAAGGCGTTGGCGGAAGGGAGCTCGGGATGGCCGGTTTGCGCCCTGTTGCTCCCATGGTCCCGGCTGCCCCACACGGAGCAGGGCGGGAGGTCCCGGAGCCCTGCAGGGAGGATGCCATGGAGGAACCCATGGAGGAGCCCCTGGAGGAGCCCGGCGCGGCCGCGCACACTGCTGGCGCACGTCCCCCTGTGGCCCCCATGAATATAAATATATATACATATCTCCGTATATATATGTATACTAGTATTGACGTGTGAGCCCCTCAGATAAGTAATATTTCAGAACCGTAGCACTTCCTCTAAAAAGTTTTTCATTTTCTTTTTCCTGCTGTGGGATTTCTTGAGCAAATGTTATTTGCACATGTTCGTTCTTCAGCTCTGCCGTAGCCAAGAGAGCTCTAGTTAATGCCAAACACGTGGATATTTTGAAGCTAGTGAATGGTCCCTGGGGAAAACTTAAGCGTGGAGGGAACACTGCTTTCCACAGAGCCGCCGAATGGCCGCCTTTTAGAAGGCTGCAGGTTTTATTTTCGTGCTTGGAAACCCCACAACGTGTCAGTCTTCGCAAAGCCTTTTAGATGTGGTTCGTGAATATACCCGTAAGTATATGTTTGTGTAAAAGAGTGACTGTGCCGTGTGTAAATACTTTAAATTATTGCGATAGCAGAATAAAGTTGCCTACCCCGCTGCGGAGCGTCTGTGCCGTGGTGTCCGTGAGGGAGTGGAGGGAAGGGGCTGTGGGGACGGGGATGTGCCGGTCGCCATCGGAGCGCGGCCCCGCGCCTGCTCGTGTCCCGAATCCGAGCAAACCTGCGGTCCGCAGCTGCCAGGGTGCCGGTTTATGGAGGAGCCCGTGCGTGGGAAGCGCCGCGTCCCGCTCGTGTGCTCTTCCTCGCCACCCTTGCTGAGGGGCTTCCCGGAGCTTAGGCCCCACCGTCTGCTTTTGCCAGGGCTGCCTTGAGAGTGGTTGTGAAAATCCTGCTTGCTGGGTAATTCTGGAACCAGAAGGACCTTGGGTGGGAGGGATAATTGCCCTAAAACTGGGGAGGCGGTGGAGGGATTGAAAGAAGGAAAGATGCAGAAGCGCCTGCCCGGCCCCAGAGGGTTGTGCAGCCAAACACCGTGTCCCGCTCGCCTGGAAGCTGCCGGGGCCGGGCCCGGCTCCATGGGGCACTGGGAGCGTCAGGCCGGGAGCACGGAGCTGGGCGGCCCGGGAGCGCCTGCGGCAGGAGCGGGTGACCCAGGAGCGTCCGTGGCGGGAACGGGTGACCCAGGAGCATCTGCGGTGGGAACAGGTGACCCGGGAGCACCCATGGTAGGAGCAGGTGACCCGGGAGCACCCGCAGTGGGAGCAGGTGACCTGGGAGCACCCGTGGTGGGAGCGGGTGACCCAGGAGTGCTCCCAGCGCCCGCGCAGCACCGAGTCGCTCGCGGCACCGAGGCCCAGGGTGCCCGGGGGGCGCCGAGGGAGACCCCGTCGCTCCCGAAGAGTTTATTCTCCACGAGCTGATTCACCAGTGCAGGCGCTGCCGGGCACCGGGACGTGGCCATGTTACTGGCTTGTTCAAAGGATTGCCTTAAGTGGCTTCTGTCACATTTCTAGCTGGAGCATCTTCCATTTGCCTCACGGATGCCGCGCGCTCGGTTTATGGCCCTTGAGGCTCTGGCTCTTTGCTTGTGATGCTGCCCATCAAGCCGGACACGAGGTGACCGCGGCGCTCGGGAGCTGCTCTGGAAAAGCTCCCTGTGGCCTGTGCCTTTCCCCTCTACTGTCCGAGGTTTCCAACCCCGTGCTCATTTTCCTCATACGGGCACAACTGGTGCACTGAGGTGTTCGGCATTCGGCTTATCTTAATTCCCATCTATGTCTTAAACCAATAAACGCTGTTTCTTCAGTTCTTTCCCCATTCTAGGCATTAAAGAAAACTGTTTATATAACACCTAGGCCTGACTAGTAATGACTTTTTTTTTTTTAAAAGCACTTCAGTGCTGTTTACAACTTTAACCTTCTCCGTGTCACGATGCTCATTCTCCCTATTTACATTCAAAACAAGCAAGGCCTCTGTGTGTCAGTGTTGCTCATTAGATTTTTATCAGTCTTATTAACTAGTTTGTTTGGAAAGCAACATAGTCACAGATCATGTACAAGTACACAGGTAAATTATTGTAATGTTGGTGGAAATCAATTCAGAATTCAGACGGTGTTTGTAAGTTTTCCTGCACTGAAATTAAAGGCTGTTGATAGTGAATCAACTGTGAGAAGAAAGATTGATTACAGGGTCAGATATGTGCAGGGATAAACCCCAGCACTCATAACAAGGTGTAAGACCAATGTGTAGTATGTACACTGCCAGTGACACTTATTTAAAGGCATTAGTTTCATGAATGAATGCTGCAGTAGTAAAATTTAATTTCCACCTTTTTTTATATATTAGAATTTTTGGAAAAGCAGCCCTTAAAAATGCAGAGCACACGCTTCGTGTTGATGTGAGTGTGCATTGAAGGCTGGGTGTGGGGAGGATTTCATGTGCTCTGGTGTGTGACGTGTCTGTCCCAAAAGGGGAATTCCCAGGACGGGATCTTACCCCTGGGATCCCCCCGGCTCCCTCTACCCAGCCACTGCCCCCAGGGCAGGTAGGACTGCACTTGAGTGTTGAGCATGCCTCCTTGCAGGACGTTTCTGGCAGATTTTCCGTGTGTCGGGCCCAGGGGATGGCCAGGCATGTTTGCAACAAGTGCAGCACTTGGAGAGGCGCCTGGAAATGGTCCCGCTGCCAGGGCAGAGATCTCATCTTTCCCATCCGCAGCGAGTGCCAGATCCCCAGCAGCCGAGGGGCACGTGCAAATAAATGTCCTCCTGCAAGGCGACAGCATCGTCTAAAGCAGGTCTTAGGTGCCTATAAAGAAGCAGGGGCCAGGCTTCACCTCCAGCTTTACCATGGCCAGTTAACGAAACGCGTCGCCCGCTCGGAGCTTCGTGGAGTCAGAGGCATCTTTCAGGTGCCTGAGGTCAGACCAAAGGAATCCAGGTCTGACGATGAGATCGGCACCTCCAGGCTGGGTAACTCCCGGGAGAGCCTGCCCCCGGGAGCAGGGACGAGGTGCTGACCCTGGAGCTTCCACCAGCGCCACACGTGTCTCCGTCCCGGCCTCGGAGAGCCCCTTCCTGGCCCGACTGCAGTGTCTCCGCAATGGCACAAGCGGCTGATAACACGTAACCTGCACACAGGAACAGGGGCCGGGTTTCTAGTGCTGTGTTTTGTCTCTTGGGTCATCTTGGTGTTTCCTCTGACAGCTCCTGTGCTTTTAGTGTCTCCTCGCTATACAAAAGCAGTAGTTCATGGCAGTTCACAGCTATAATGGATAATGGATTGCCAAAGCCAGTCCCTGGAATACCCCACAGCCAGGTGGGGCAGGTATTTGCCTAGGACGTGGGAGCTGCATTTGCCGGAATTCCCACTCCACATTATGTAAAGGAGATGTTTGCACTAAGGTTTCCTGCCTTCCCAGGGGCCGGGAATAGCGGCTCTGCTCTTGGGGATCTCAGCGGAGCCTTTCCCCAGTGCCGAGGAAAGCGAGCGGAGCCCCTCGGCAGCGCGAGGCTCCCGCTCCAGCCGGGGAAACCTGCGGAAAGCAGCGCCCTGGGGCTCTCACTTCTCTGCAGGGGCAGCACGTGGATGTGCAGCCCACGGGAACGTTGCTCATCTCTTGCACTCACAGGTCTTCTACCAGGACTGTCACAAACTCAGCGCCACGAATGGGGCTTTCCACAACACTTGTCCCACTGCGGGATATAAAGGGATATAAAAGCATCAGGCCTGAGCTCTGGCATCATGGTGGCAGCAGC